TTATTTTAGACTCATCCTAACTTATTTATTAAATAAATTTAAATTATATTTAAATTTTTGATTAGATTTATTTAATTAAATAAGTTAGATTTATTTTTATAAAGTTTAACCTATAAATCTAATAGGCCAACTTATATGTATATAACTTTTATGCAATATTATATACTGTATATATATAAGTTTTATCATTTAATTTTTAATTAATTTTTTTATAATTATGTTTTCAATTAGATTATATTTGTATAGTGATTTTAATATCATTATTTTATTGTTATACTGTATTATAGTCAATAAATCTTCTTTATTTTTATATATATTGTAATTGATAATTCAATTGATGTGTGTGTAGACTTTAATAATCTTAAAGCATATTTAAAACAGTTAAAATTAATATGTAAATTTATTTAAAAAGTTTACTTTAAGTAAATTTTTGAATACACTTTTAATCCAAACTATAGCCTAGACTTCTAATTTATTACACGGGCATAGACTTATTTAGTTTATTTTTCACCCCTCCTCATCAAAATTGGCTTGTATATATGTCTCATTTTCTCTCACCTATTTTTGAAAATTAGAATTTTTTTTAAAAAATCTTCATAGCTAAATAAATGGTAATTTGATATTAAATTGTTCATATGGATAAGGGAAAATTAAACTTTAACTTTAATTTTATGCAATTCAGTTTCTACAATTTTAACTCGGGTGTAATTCAATTTCTTAATTTTAACCCATTACAATTGATAACTCAATCTTTATAATTTTAGTAATTTAAAATATTAGTTCCTAAATTTCAAAATAACTTTATTCTTCATAATTTTATTTTTTAAAAATATAGGAACCTATATTTTAAATGATTAAAACTATAGATATATATTGAATTATATTGCCAAATTAAAATTTAGATACTAAGTTGCAATTGAGTAAAAAATTATAAAGATTTAATTACAATGAGTCAAAGTTAGATATTAGATTATAATGAAGTCAAAACTATAAGAATTAAATAATTAATTTTTTTATATGCAATTATGAACATAATTATGATCCCTTAATTGAAAAGGTTAAAATATACTGGTATACTTCTTTTAGTTTTATATATAAGTTATCTTCTAAAAAATTTATTTCTTTTTAGATAATATATTTATAATTTATTTACCCTTCTTTAGTTATAGTAATAAAATAGTCAAAAGAAACTTATAAGATTGAACGGTGTAAATAATGACCGGCCTAAAAAGAAATTATAATATTTGTGCATGGTAAGTGAAATGTGACTTTTCTAATCCCAACAACTAAGATGGATCTTCCATGTATTGCAAAAATAATGCGCAGTATACTACTCCATGTCTAATGCTAGATTCAATTAATGTGAACCGTCAGCTTATTATCTTCTCGTTATATAGTGAACTGTCTTTCAAACAAGAAGTTATATATGCTTATAATTAATGACCATAAAAGTATAGATATCTGAATCTTTTTTCTCATAGGTTCAAGTGAAAAATTGAATTATTGTGCTGTTATTTTTCTCTTATTTAATTTGAGAATACTATGAATTTTTAAGTAAAAATCCAAGTTCGAATAATTTACATAGCCTAAATCTCCTCTCAAATTAACTACTCCTTTTTCAGATTTTGTATTATTCGAATTGATGACTAAAACAATACAAATTATATAGATTAGTTTAACTATTTATAATTATACTGAGAGAATTTGAAGATAATATACTATAATTCATTTTGGCATTCATGCTTGTCATTTTCAATATATAGTTTATGTACCGCAGCATAATTAATTTCTACTTGTTGGCCACATAACATATATTCTTACTACATACAAGATGAATATTTGGTATATTTTTCCTTTGTGTAATTAAATGGGATAACAGATCGATTAATTAACTTTGATTATCTCTATCATGTTTCAAGTTGGGACTTCCACTTTCTTCTTAATTTGCTCTGTGCTGCTAAATTTGTCACAGTTCGGTTGTTTTTAAATGTTATCCAGACACTACCATTAGTTAATGCATGTAATTATTTGGCACCTCACAATCAGATATTTATAGTTTTGTGCTACTTAATTACTCAAAATTCTTTTTTTTAATCTTTTTTTTTTGTGAATGTGAATCTAGTATTCAAAATTCTAATGTTGGTTTCAGTTGGGTGAGACTCTCACAACTTATATACTTCTCATCCTAAATATTGGAGTTAGTTAACTAATTCACACGTATTAATTAGAAAACCTAGGTTAGTTATTTATGTAAAAAATGTGTGCTGGTTTTCTAATATATTTCTTTTAAAATTTCAAAGTTATAATATCCAAATCCATAATTTTTTGTGTTTTCAAATAACAAATTTAGTTCAAATCCAAATCTAAATTCCTGTTAATCCAAGCACACCCTTAGATTAATTAGGATTAGGAATTACGATTTAATTGGATTTTCTTCACTATCACTATCTTTTTAGGATTATTTTAAATTTTATTTAATTAAATAAAATAGGATATCTAGTTATAGCTGGATTATCTTTATTTATTTTTAAAATTAAGGTTAAGACTTGAATTAATTTTTTTTTAGAGCTCTGTAACTAGCTCTAGAAATTGTAATGATAGCCGAATTTGACTGATTAAATAAAATGTTCAAAATGTTTCAAAAGTCTCCTCCGATCCCTTTTTTTTTTATTCTTTCAATAATAATGTCCGCTTTTCTAAGCCTGTCTCTTATTGTTTCACATCAAATAAGTATGGCTTGAATAGATCACAAACATATGTATATGTGCTCGTCATCTTGACTATGCTGAAAGCTAAGGTCCAATATCTTCCTAGCAAATCCAGCCTAGGTCAGGACTTCCTTAGATCCTACCCTACACACGTCGGAAACACCCTCACAAAATTAAACTTGAGTTCTATACTATCATTATGGAACCATACCAAAAAAGATGCGTAAACAATTTGATTATACATAGCTGCTAAATTTTCTCAATCCAATGTCGGCCACCACACTCCATTGATATTTTGTTTGCGGATATCCAACGGCCTTTAGTATATAAATATTATATGACATAAATATAGTTTCGTGTGGGAATTATAAACTTGAAGAACATAAGATGATAACTATTAGATCACAAACGATAATAGCGATAATTACCATGAAAATAGCACAAGCTCGAGAGCTGGTATTAAGTAACTTTGAAAGAGTAAGTTAATGTTAACTATTATTACACTAAAGCTCATATACGGAAATATGGCCTTATAATATTTGTTGAAGATAGCATTATTTATGTTGACTTAAAAAAAAAAAGTAGGGGGTTGGAATGAGTGGGTACGTACAAGAAACAAAGATAAATGGCGTCCACTATAGACATTGTTACAACGTACGTAGGGTATCATGGGTTCATGCGCGATGACGATTAGATTATATTATAACTAGAGTTGTTGTGAGTGGTGTACCTCTTGAATATAATGTGTGGTTGTGTGCGTGTGTGTGTGGTGGGGCAACAACATCTCACATCTCTGTTCTCGTAAATATTGGATTTTCACATCGGACAGGTGCCAAACACTCCAAGCTTTGCTTCCTTGGCCCGATTCAAGGTGTTCTTGTTTATATATATTATACTTTTACAATTCAAAATTATTTAGAGATACTACCTCCATCCTAAATTATAGAACACTTTTTAAAAATTTTTTCTGTCTCAAAACATAAGACACTTTAGATAGATTAAGGTTTCATTGAATGCATCAATTTTAATATTATTCTTTCTCTCTCTATAATTAATTTATATCCCTTCTATTTTTAATATATTAAATGATAGATATTTTTTAAAATTTATATTTTTATTTTAAAAAGATAAGGTTGTTCGGTGTATTTAATGAGGTTTATTGGCATGTAAAATTTTATTTAAAAATATCTTATAATTTAGGACAGAGGAAGTATTAGTTTTAAAAATACTACTCATTTAAGTTTTTTTCAAAAATAATTAATAATGAGAATTTTTAAAAATATTTTCAATAAATATTTAAAATTAATAAAATTTTTATATTTATTTATTATTAAGTTCTCTATTTGATGAAGATAGGTGACTTTTAATAGTATTAAATTAACAGATTTTTAAGAATAAATTAAAAGTTGATTAAAAATATCATATAATTTAAAACCAAGAGAGTGTATGAATTTCACACACACATAGAACATCAGAGTGTGTGTGTGTAAGAATTAGGATAAATTTTCTCAAATCACAATATAGAACATATTTTAGATGCATTGCTTGATTTAAAATATAACATATTTAATAGTTTTTATAAGGATAAATTGGCCCACTAGTCGAAGAATATTTTGTGCTTAGAAAATATGAACTAAATTTTTAAAACTTTTGAAGTGTAACTAGTTCACATTAATATACAAATGGTTTATCATTGATATATAAAAAATTTATCATTAAAAATTTAAAAATGTACAAAAAATTTATCATTAATATATAATAGCATATCATAACTATAATAAACTTGTTATATATAATGTAAAATATAATAAATATTAAGCTATTTTCTTGATTTAATCCTATAATATGAGCTATATTTGCAAAAAAAAAAAACTATTTTTTTATAATTATTTTTTAACCATAACCTTTCTTCATATATCATTCTTTTTGAAAAAATGATGCATTATTGGAATTACAAATGTCATTATTAAATTAAAGTACCTATATAGAATAATTAAGGATATGAAATAGTTACCAATATCCTCTATATTATGATCCATATGCAGTATTTTCAAGTGAAATTTATTTCTAATGGCCGGGTTTTACAAATTCCTCTGTATCTCTTTATAAGAAATTGAAAAATAATAGTTGAAAGAATCCAAATTTTAACCAGGTAATGATGGATATAGTTATTAATTCATTGGATAATTAGGACATTAAAATTTGTTATTTAATGAGACATATAACTATTTCATTAGTAAATTAATTTATATTTACTAAAGATATATTAATTAATCAATCAAAATTCAATGATTGAGTTTCAATGGATTTATCAAACTAAAAATAAAAATAAAAATTCAAGCAGATGAAGCTTAGCTTCAAATTCTCGTCACTAAAAATGTATCCTACGTAGCCCGTACAGTAAGTACTACATTTGACGGGGGGCGCATATATATATACCACATGGATGGCAAATATGCAATGGCTAGGAATTGATTAGGAAGTGAAGAGTCGACAAGTAGTATTAAACAATTGGGTTCGATGTTTGGTATCGTAATGGTTGTGAAGGAGGATCAGGCACTGAAGATTGTGATGAAACTTAGGGTTGATGAGGCTCGGCACCATTCTGTAAGTAGACCTCACACTCACTCCCACCACAATGGGCAGCCCTCTTTCTGACTCTAACAAGTCCTCCATCTCCCTCCCTGCTCCATACATTGCCTTGTTCTTCACTCCCACTTCCATCTCGTATATCGTCGTCCCACTCTCCGCATACAATTCCTCACGGCCCTGCCCAAATATAAGCTAAGACAAAAGTATATAACATCTATATAATATTAATAAATATTTAAAAATTTGGAGGGGGTGTGGGCCCTGCTACTTATTTTGGCTTGGTCCCACGGCCCCTCCGTGTGAAGAGAGATGAGGTGGCTTACATGAGAGAGAGCAAAGGGTAAGAGGGAGAAGGACATGTGGAGAAGAGGAGGATGGATGTGAAGGCGAAAGAACTTGGATTTGTTGAGAACTCCCAGATTAATGGAGCAGTTGCAGTTAAGGATCTTGGTTGACACCCCACTTCTGTCCACGCCTTCCCCCAGCTTAAACTCCCTCACTCCTTCTATCTGCAATTTTAATAACCATTCCACTCCATCAATTCCCTCATTATTTCACATTCACAAGGGTAAAAACCTAATTTTCACAACCATTAAAAATATATTTTTACAACTATACATCAAGTATAGTAAATAGTCAATTTATTTCAGGAGCTTTTGTAAATATAACACATGTTATATAGTATAGGATCAAATTAAACAAACAGCCTAATATTTATTATATTTTGTATTATAGTCTATTTATTATATTTATTAATAATATATTGTTATATACTAATGATAAACCTCTTGTAAATTTTTAAAATTTTAGTGATAAATCATTTGTATATCAATGAATGATCAGTGCGCCAATTTATTTATTATTTATTTTATTATAAAAAAGATGGGAAGATAATGCATAATTTTTAAAATATCAAGGATAGTTTTAAATTTTTAAAATAACAAAGATGTAAATTAATCCATAATTATAATTTTCTCTTTCTTTCCCCTGTGCCCAAAAAAAAAAAACTCCAAATTAGATACGGGATGGAAGGGGAGTGCTCCCCTCCCTTTTTCTCAAATTTTTTAACCAAACAAGGGGAGAGCAACTCTCCTCACCTTCCCTCCAAAAACTATGAAGCAAACATAACCAAAGTAGAGGCATATGTTTTGAAAACTCTCTTTCCTGAAAACTTTCCTACTCTCTTTTAGAAAGCAGTGTATGTATTGTGAAAATCCATCCGAAATCCATCACACTAACATGGCACTCGTGTAGTCGTGCGGGGTAGAAGAGAAGGTTTATGGTGATCGAATATGTGTGTGTTTTCTCGGATTCTAAATCTCACACGTACTAGCTCAACATGGTTCAAATAAAAAGTCGATAAACATGAAGAATTAGAGCACACATGCATATCCCTCACTATTTCTCTGTGTGTATGTGAGAGAGAGAGAGAGAGAGAGAGAGAGAGAGAGAGGGCATATGCCGATTAGTATTGTGTGTGTGTGTGTGGGGTTTTTGGGCAAAGGTTGATTTTGATGACTATTCTAAAGCATTTTTTTAAAAACTTTACCTGCTAATTTAAAATAAGTTACATGCTTTTTTTTTTGTTTTTGCTTCATAAACGTCAACAATTAATATTCGTTACATCTATCTTGTGCGTAACATGTATGAGTAAAACCATAAAGGACCCACATCATGCATGTATGTTCATCATTTCGACTATCACTTTCTACAGCTTTTGTAGCACTGTAAGACAGTGTAATTATAAATCCTCACAACAGATGCTCATAATAATAGTTAAATTAAAAGCACATCCAATGAAGATTATGCTCTTTGTACCCTCCATTGTTACTGCTTACCATAAATCATTGGGGAAAGAGGTCAGAAGGACGAAGAGGTAAAGTTATTTGAGAAAAGGCCCAAAGTCCTTCAAGTGGATTACAGTTACAATTTTAATTCACTTCAGGGACCTTGGGCCTTTTTTCCTCAATATCTTTGTCGTCTCATGGCCCTTCTTTTCAATTTCCCCAAATCATTTGTGCCCTTTCATTTCAATCAGCGACAATCACATAGGAATGACCAATAAAACAGGGTATTGATAAATCATGAATTTTTAATAATGATAATAATATTAATTAATTAATTAATGTGAAGTGAGAGTGATACCTCGAGGGAGAGAACAGGAGGGGGAGGCTTGGTGGCAATGTAGAAAACAAGCAAGGCGACACTGAGGCTCACCAACAGTCTCCAACTTATCTGAATCCAAATCCAAGCCCACGAGTCTGTGTTCCGGTACGTCCAGTATCTCCTCCACCCTTTCTCCTTCCTCCAATCATAATCAAACACGTCATCCTCCTCCTCGTCGTCATCCCCGCGGTTCCTGTTCATTATAATCAGACGGTTGATATCGCCGTCGTTCTCCGTAGGCGCTGTGGCATGGCTCTCGTCGTACGACACCTTCTTGTGGTGGTGGTAGCAGTGGACGGAGCCGCGGGCAGGGGAGTGGAAGGTGGATGATTCGGCGTCGTTTTGAGTGAGGGTGGTGGCGGAAGGGCTTTGGACGAAGTAGGCTGGGCAGGGATAAGGGTGGTGGTGGTGGTGGTGGTACATGATGAGAGCCTCATGATCTTCCACGACAACATTGTTGGACATTGATATTGTTGTTGTGACTGAGTATGTGTGTCAGTGTGTGAGCCTGTTTCAAAACGAGAGAGCGTTCAGGTTTAAAATGGAGGAATCAAGGGATTGAACAGTGTGCATTAATTATAGGACAGAGGCATAGAGCTTTGGGTCTTCATTAAGGGACAACCATGGAAGCAAACATAATTGCCCCTAGTTAAGTATTCACGGATATCCTACTGTTTTTTTCAACCATTATATCCACACTGTCACACACCCACACACTCTTTCTCTCTCTCTCTTTAGTTGTATTATAAAATATCCCTAACTATTTTATTAAAATTAATAAAATACAGTTAAGTTATTAATTTTATTTAAAAATATAATAAATTTTTATTTTTATTTTTATAATTAAATCAAAAATTTTTAAATTTGTATCATATTTCATTTCATTATTGATGAGTTTAAATAGAAGTAAGGAAGAATAATAGTTAAATCTCCAAAAAAATGAATTAATAATAATTAAATTTTTAAAAAAAATAATTTAAAATTATCCATATAAAATTATTATATATTTAAAAATTTTAATTACAAATGAATATTTAAATATTAAATATAATTTTTAAATTGTAATAAAAAATTTTATTTATAATTATTAAAATTAATATTTATAATTTATTTTGTAAAAAATTATATCGAGAACCTAACTATCATTCTCCCTGAAAGTAATGTTAAAAATACATAATTAATATCTCATTAACTATTTTACGTTAAGGACCAAATAATCAATGTTATTATATATATATATATATATCACCTTTTACAAAAATTGATAATCTTTTTTATAAATCATTTTGTATAGAAAAATAAATTATTAATTACTTTCTTTCAATTTTTTATTTTTTATTTTTTATTAATAGAATAAAACGTTACACATAAAAAAATTCTAAAAATTAATACATTTAATACAGTTAAATTAAAAAAATTTTTATTTTAAATAATATTAATGGTTTAATTACTTTTTAATTTCATTGAAATAACTAGAAATAGTAGTTTTCAGGTTATTATACTCCTAGTCAATATACAAAATGTAGGTACATTTTTTTCAAACGCTGAGTCTTGTCATTTGACTGATTTTGATCCCTTTAATTGTTCAATTACTGAAACGGTGGTGTCTGTGCATTAATTAAATAGTAGTACAAAACAAAAAAACCCAAAAAAAATTTAAGTCGTTATTTTCTTTAGATATTTTAAATCAATTTTCAAACACTACATAAACTTGTGACAAACTTGGATTAAATTAGATTCAACTGGATGCATGGACTTAAAATTCTTGCAACGATGATAATTTGTAAAATGATTCTAATAATGTTACAGATTGTTTTATATTACAAATAAACCCACGTAGATATGTATTACACGAGATATGAATAAAAAAAGGAGTAATTAATGTGATAATTTTCATTGAGCAACGTGATTAGAAATTAAAATAAAGAAAAGGGACAATAAGGAAGAGAAGGGAATGCTGGAATTACGGAAAAGTGTGGGGGGCTTAACTCAGAAGATTGCGCCTCCAAAAAGGGCAATTTTTTTTTTAAATAATAAAAGTAATAATAAGAAAAGACATGCTTTGCACCGAAATGCCTGTGGGGGGAATGACCGCAAAGTATGCACGCTTTACTCATTACAGTGTTCTCCCTCTTTTATTAACTTTTTTTTTAATTATAAGATCTACACCCTATTATCTATAATAACGTTTTATTAATTTAATTGTCCTCCCAAATATGCTGAGGGCCCTCTGCATTATATATTAATTAATTGGATCCAATGCATGGCACGCGTTTTATCAACATAGTGCTCTAAATATTATCCCAATATAATTTAAGACATCATTTAAATTGATAAATTTAAATTCAAATTTAAAATTTAAAATCTTATATTTCAAATATCATATTTAAAATACATATATTTATAACTCTTTATTTAAATAATTTAAAAAAATTTCAATTAGAAAGAGATATGAATCAAATAAAAAAATAAAAAATGATGAGTTTATTTTTATTTTTTAATTGATAAAAGGTGATAAAATATACTAGAGCCATTGAGTCATAAAAGAATTAATAGTAAAAATATGAAGAAAATAAAATATTTGAAGTAATTAAAAATTTAAATGACTCAGATATAAAGGGAATTTGAAATTATAAAAAAATTAATTTAAAATGAATTTTGATTTGAATTAAATTTAAATTCAAAAAATTTTATATATTCAAATGAAGTACTTATCCAAATCCAAACATATCAAAAAGGACGAATTTTAATATAGAATTATCAGGTAGCTTAATTTTAATCAAAGAAACTATGACCCTTTAAACAGAAGATCTTGAATATGAGTTTGTGTAATTGTAGAAAACATTTTTAAAAAAATTACCTCTAATTAAATTCAATAATGTGTGTGTCGTGCGTGTGTGAATAAAGGATCGTTGCAGGACTAACAAGCTATGAAACTTCACTGTGAGATTATTAAAGGAGTAAACGAAAATTATATTTTATTAAAAAATGACAAAAAAATCTTTCATACTATGTGAAATTATTTTCTATGAACAATGTTCTAAATATCATCTATCCATATGTTATTTAAAATTATAGGAATTTATACTATTTGACTATTTGAAATTCGTTTATTGATCATGTGGGTTCCAGTTTGAAAGTCATTTTATATTAAAATTGGCCATTTCTTGTTAAAAAAAGATCATTTCTTTAAACCAAATCTTTATTTATTGGGGACAAAGCCAAGTTTAAAAGCTCGTTTCTATTTTTTCTATTTATTTTTTATTTTTAAAAATTAAATCTGTCATTATAATATTATAAGTTTATGCTTTAAATACAAATTAAAATGTTAAAAAATTTAAAACTAGTAATAGAAATTCTATTTTTTAAATACAAACATATATTTTGAAGATTAAATTTAATCCGAAGGCGTAAAAAATCACAATTTTTTAAGATTAAAATAAATATAAATTCAAACAAATAGCTCGATAAGCTAAATTTATGTTCCCAACTCTATTATATATATTGTCATTGGATCATTTACTTTATAAGAAATCTGATAAAACTAATCAAAAGAATTAATTTGTGTTTAAATTGAATAAAGTGTTCTCTATCCACATATCTGAGCATTGTCCTCTTCCATCGAGGATCCATAACAAGAAGAGAGATAGAGCAGGCTAAATTCGTTATCCATATCATCAATTTATAATATTCATAAAAAAATCAATAATTAATCAATTTATTCCATAAAATTTATTACAAAAGGTAGTGTGCTATTTTTATGCGTAGTATGGAAACCAGAATATACCATGGTACTTGGTACACATTAGAGAAGTAAAATATTTATAGAAAATTGTACAATGTCCAAATAAATTGTTTTCTTATTTATTTTTTTTTCCTTTTCTCTATAAATCCAACCGCGTTCTAATCTAGCCTTGTGGCCGATATACACCATTTGCCTCAGTCTTCTGTTACATTTTCCATCAACTTGATTAACATCCCAAGTTTTTAATTAATAATGTGGATTTACAGTAAATTTAATATTCAATACTAATTATTCATATCAATATTAATTGAACATCAATATATCTATCATTTAAATTAAAATAAGATATTATTTTTTTATACGGATTTCCAGTTTAATGGTAATGTTTTGAATTGGGTTGATTATTTCAGGCAAAAAAAAAAAATTGGGTTGATTATCATTCAAAATTAGCCAATAAAACATGTCTAATTAAGTAGCATGTTGTAATTTCATAGGGTTGCAAGTTTAAGTAAGAATTTAATATTTCCATTTTTTTTTTGTTTATTATGAGCAGAGAAAATGTTGTGCCCTGAAAACTTCATATGTTAAATGATAAATTTGGATTAAAATAATAGTAAGTGCTTCTGGCCAAAAAAAAAAAAAGTAAGTGCTGTGAGTGAGAATAACTGATAAGTAAGACTTGAAGTAGAGATGAATTTTAATTGAAGGTTTCTTGAAATTGAAGAGAAAAGATAGATTGTAAAGCAAGGGTGATAGAAATTTATGGTAATCATTGTAAGATAACACATATATTTGTTTAAATATACAACACTATACTTTTTGCTTTTGTATCAAGACATTATTAACTCCACTTCTCCCCACCATCATTATTCAAACCAAATGAATATATAGCATTTTTTAAAATATACTTAAAAAATATATAATTTACATTAAATTAAGCTACTTATTGTTCATGAAGTTTCTTTTCTCTAACGGTATATGAATTTGGATTTTTTTTGTAATTAGAAACCATATTTATTTGTCATGTAGTCTACAAAAAATAAGTTACATTGTTTATAATTTGTGAAAATACAACTTATTGTTGACTTATCGGTTTGTGAATTTTATTATATTAATTCCCCTAGCATTCTCTATATACTTAGTTTAGATACACAAGCTTAACTAATAATTAACTGCACACTTTTACAATTTAGAGAAATCCAAATTAGGGATTAGTAAACTATATTCCTAAGAATATTGAAAAACATGGAATTCAAGGTTCATAAATCACCTACAACATGACTATTTTTCCACTCATATAAATATTTATTGATATTTGTGGTAATTAGTTTCACCTAGCGTGGTTTAATTTCTTAAGTGTGGTTTAAATATTTGAAGGATTTGTTCAAGCAAAAATATAACTATTTGAAGGATCATAGTTAGTAGCACTCGATGATAACAAAATTTTGCACAATATGAAAACCAATTTTATTCCACGTCATTTTGTTTTGCTCAAATATCTATGCGACACATTGCTAATTATGTGTCATAATTTATAAAATGACATGTATTGTCCCATAATGTTTATCTATTATTTAAATAAAATTTCACGTATATTTAAAATTCTTCTTCTTCTTTTCAACTAAAAATATAACATGTAATGACAATAAGATGATAACTGTGTAATGTTTAAAATTACTTTTGAATATTATCAAATCTATTTAAATATAATTTTTTTTGTTGGAAAAATTTAAATATTTAATATTACTTAAGACACATGATTCTCCTCTTCCCCACTCATGATTTTCTCTTTATATAGGACTTTTTTTTTCTTTTAAATTAGGATGAAAAAAAAAAGCTTTCACGGTCTGGTATACGTTAATGTTATAAAAATATTTTCCACTCGTAACATCACCGTCGCTTTGGCCGAGTGGTTAAGGCGTGTGCCTGCTAAGTACATGGGGTTTCCCCGCGAGAGTTCGAATCTCTCAGGCGACGTTTGATTTTTTTTCTTGTTTTTTTTTTTAACCTTCCAAAAACAGAATAGAACAAACTACAGAAGAGAGACACAATAGAAATTCAATAAAGAAACTTCCAACTTAACTACTTCTGTCTGATGTGTTTACATCATCATTATACCTTGTACATGTTTTTTCTTTTTTTTTTTGTTACCTTAAACTAATTCAATAACAACTTCTGCATAAATTGTTCCTTCTCTTGTAATACACAGCAACACTACGTACAATTCAACCGCTACCCCCCCCTTTTTTCGTTTATATTTATTTATTATTATTTTTATTTTTTGACTTCTTCCTAATACAACCTTTCTCACTATTCACATTTTCTCTTCAATCTTCATCTCAAGGATCTCCTTTGAACATTATTGCACCAACCTTCCTATTCCCGCAAATTCACACAAAGTGTTACCCAAGCAAATTGTACAAGAAAAAAGCAAAACATGCAAATCCAACAGCATTAATGCTCATGAACCCTATTCACATGTAACTCCAGCTTTTTCTCTGTACACACCTGTCTATGTACCTCATACAATGGAGTTTGTGTTGGAAATTTGGAAGCTGGGTGTTTACAATTTTGAAAGACAAAGCTGAGTGAAACAATGGGATGATTAAAAAAAGGGTTTTGTTTATTGTTCTTGGGGGAACCGAATGTGGTAAAAAATGGGCCTGTGCACAGAAGGTGTTCGTGTGAATGTCTGAGAGAGAACAAGAAAGAAAATGGGAAATTCCGAAGATGGATATATAATACTCTTTCAACTTGGAAAGAAAGGAAAAGAGAACATGATATACCTTGCAAAGAACAATACTCACACGCTGCAACTTTCATTGCAGGAGCTACTGAACCTAACACAATGAGATTGGCGTTGGAATTTGGATGTGTACAATTGATGAGAAATGGCTGTAAATGGGTGACCAACAAAAGGGTCTGTGTGTTTATTGCATTTGGAGTGATTGAAGGTGAGGAAAAATGGATTTGTGCATTGAATGTGTGAATGTCTGAGAGAGAGACAGAAAGAGAAAGAGAGAGAAACAGAGGGGAAATGAAAATTTTCCCGAAGTTGGATGTTGCTCATTCAACTTGGAAATCAAGGAAAGGAAAAGAGGATATATCTTGCATTAAACCCTCCAAATCCCATTCTCCCATTCTTAAGTTTTCCCCTGATTGCCCATGATTATTATTTCCAAACCCAACCAAGTCCTGATGATGATGGTGGTGGTACTGATGATCAGTGTCATTGAAGCAACCATTATTAAAATGGTTGTTGTTGTTGTTGTTGTTGATATGACCTTTCACATCAATAGGAACAGCACTACTATTATACTTCTCTTCCATGCTTCTACTCTCTAGAGAAGGAAGACACAGGTCTCTTTCTAACCCCATTACTTTATTATCCTCTCCCTCAAATACCAACCCATTATTATAATCATCCCCATAAATCCCATCCTGGACCATGCCGCCACTACCACAACCAACTTGTGTTAAGCATGCAGGCATGTCATAAGGAATATTACTGTTATTATCCAACATGGAAAAGGGATACTCCATCAACCTTTGATCACCACCGAAAGCCATGGCCTGTATGGATTGTACGGACGCCGATGAAGATGATGATATTGATGAAGGTGATGAGTCCATGCACAAGGTCATGTTGATGAGATCTTGCTTATTGATGAAGGGCATGGAGGCTGTGGTGGTGATCCCGTTGAGAACAATATGATTTGATGATGAGTCTGTGCTGTTGTTTGGTGAAGGAGTAGCAGTGGAAGTAGTAGTAGCAGTATTATTGTTGTTGTTTTTCATCCTTTTCTTTAAAGTAGAGTTCCAGAAGTTCTTAATTTCATTGTCTGTGCGTCCTGGAAGACGTGCTGCTATCTGAGACCACCTGAAATTTTCAGAACCAAAAAATAAAATAAAAAGACCAGCTAGCTAGAGAAGACAGAACACACACACACACACACAACCCTGATATATTTACATGTGATTTCTAAGCCTGCAAAGCTACAGCACTACAACTATATAATTTAACTATGATGCATATAAAGACCTGTTGGTTAATGGGGAGCAATTGTCCCATGTCAGGCCAAGTCATAATCAAAAGGTGATGTTATACTTGGATGCTAACAAGTATGTGACTTTTGGACTCATGATAAATGTTTGATCCAATAGAAAATTAGGGAGGAAAAACTAAAGATAAACTTGAGGCATTTAATTTTTAGATAGATAATAATGTCCACGACATCATGTATATATTCATGAACCATACTTGCAGATGAACTTATCACAGAACAGTGAGGGGCTCAATCACATTAAAGTTGTAAACTTTATGGTTTCTTACTCAGTTATCTGAATATGATTCATAAAAAAAAATAAACGGTAGGTATTGAAAGAATCCCAAAATCAGAGATTTGCTTTTAGTGTCAACTAAACCAGCTGGAAAAATGAAGAGCTGATAATGCATGCAACTTTCACATTAACCTAGAATCTTTGTGGGGAAACAAAGGAAGAAATTATCCTAGTTAAGGCAAACTCTTGAAACCCCCAAAAAAAAATTGTACTTGGAAACTTCAATGATCATTAGCAAAATATTGTGAGGCACCTTCACATTGCCCAAATTAGACTTCATATATATAATATATATATATGTATATGTATGTATAAATCACTAATGGTGATGAGTGATGACAATGCATGATTTCTAACAACAATGGTCTTAGATTGATGCTAAATGTGTCTACTGCAAGACCGAGCATTATTATATTCAGTTCAATCTTAAAATTAAAATAATATAATGTAAATTAATATATATATATATATATATATATCTTTTTGGGGTAAAATATGTAAATATTTTTTGCATGACTTGTTTAACTGATGGTACAACCGACTGATGACCGAGCTCTTCACAGCGGCATGCCTTTGTTTAGACATTTCCTTCTATGCCTGTCTTCTTTAATTAATTTAGAAAAGAAGATCTTCGTTAACCAGTACGAGAGATAAAGAAAATTCATAGAATTAAATCAATTAAAAAATTTAATTATTTGGTAAAAATTAATGAATTCCCTTACGTATGAAACTTCTGGGGGGTGGGGGTTTAAGGAAATTAAAGATCAAAAGAAAAATGTCAAAGCAAATCAACATATATAATTATTGGGCATCCAAATTATTCAATTCACAATATGGTCTTTAAAAACAACAAAATGATTAACACACATCGCCCTCTCTGTTAATATCTTTTTGAGATTAAAGTTAAACAGACACGATAATGATAATTCATAACCAGATTAAACAGTAAAATATTTGAGCGATTGATATATCATACACACACACACACATTGAATGAGCTTCAGAATTGATGAATGAGGGTGAAGATATTAAAACGAACCTATTGCCAAGAATGGAATGAAAATGAAGAATGAGCTGTTCTTCTTGGAGAGAGAAAGCGCCCCTCTTGAGGTCAGGTCTGAGATAATTAATCCAACGAAGGCGACAACTTTTGCCACACCTCTGAAGTCCTGCATTTCTGGCAATATCACTCCAACAACCTTGTCCATTGGTCAACATGTACCTCATCAGCTTCTCATCCTCCTCCGGCGACCACAACCCCTTCCTTAGCTTCACAACGTTGTTATTGTTCTTACTACTACTGTTCTTGTCCCTCCCCATTATCATACGTATCAGTTAATATAATAAGGACCGAGACAAGGGTTTCTTTAATTTTGTGTTCTAGTGGGTTTGTGAGAGAGATCTGAGAAAGCGCTATATAGCAGAAGGAGGCTTCATGGTGTGGGAATGGTGGTGATGATGGTGATGGGCTTGTGGGGTTTGCTTAAAATATGAAATATGAAGCATGAGAGAGACAGATAGAGAGAGAGAGATTGTGTTTGTTTGTGTGTTAGTTGATGGGTAGAGTGGAAAACGGATTGGAGGGGGACCTCCATTAATGAATACATAGAGAGAGAGAGAGAGAGAGAGAGAGACAGAGACAGAGAGAGGGATGGTTGGTCTTCTTGTCTTTGACTCAATTCTTGTCTTTTTCGATATACTTTACTTCACTCACAAGGTAATCATCATCTCCTTCTCTTCTCTCTCGCTTCTTCTTTTTGTATATAACACTAACAATTTTATTGCTTCCACTTCACATAATGCCCTCTCACCCCCCTCTAGGGTTTAAACTTCAAATTCACGTGTGTGATGAGACTTCAAGAAAGAAGGGAAAATCATGAGGTGAATAGTAAATTCAATTTATTAAATGTATATCACACCACTCTTCTCTCTCCCTCTCTCTCTATATATATATAAGCTGCATCTTTCATAAAATCACTCTGCATTCTGCAGGTTTATATATCTGATACATACATACATACATACATATATTTAGCATGATCTATTTACTTTCTTAATTACAAATCTTCGTTTTATCCTCAGGAAGAGAATTATTCTGTTTCTACTGTGCTATTTTTGGAATTTAATTTTCTTGGAAAAGTGTTGCACACTTGACAGTTGTCTGATGATCTCCATGTATACATATAAATGATTGTTTTAAAGGGTTATGTGAAGGTTACATTGTTTTGCATGAGTATGAGTTTCATTAGGCCTAACAACTTTCAATGGCATATTTCTGAAGCAAATCATTTACACCTCCAAACAAAGCAATGCCAATTAATTTCCTTTCTTTTATTGGCATAATCTTATGATTGCCGCCATACTTTTATATATTAAGTATTATTCACTTTAATCCTTTCAACATGAAACATCACAGCCAAGATTTGTACATATAAATGATGAACGTGTAGTTATATATAATTTACCTGCAGGTTAAAACTCAAAGTACAAAAAAGCTTTCACTTTTAATCTATGCAAATTAAAGTTTACTGCTCCTAGGAATGACATAATCATATTTAATTAAGTTGTAGTACTTTGGCAGACTTATTGGCAAACCGTACATGAGCAAGAGAGAACATAAGGGAACTCAAGTTTATTCTAATTAAATATATATTATCTTGTTAATCATATAGGAGTTTATCTATGTTTAAACTTCAAACTATTTCCCATAAAATAATATTAAAATGTATAAACTGGATTCAAGTTTATTATTTACTTTGTTTGGCTAAAGAGGAGTACACACATATATAATAGAATATGATAGTGTGACTTGAAAAGTATGCATTACTTGATTTTGTGGTAAAAATTAGTTGGATATTTGTGTGCCACATCTTTGATAGGGATTTCTACTTCTTGAGGAATTACACGTGTGCTTCTTATCCATTGTAACAGCTGGACAATATCTATTTTTCCTACCCTGCTTCTTAGTTTGTTTTACAATCATCTGATTTAATTGTTTTATCACTTTCCCAATGAAATCATATGAATTAGGAAAAAGAGTATTTAAAGGGGAAAAAACTACTAAACCCATTCGTATCATGTGCACAAATATCGACACCTAAGAATTTTTCTAGATTTCACCTTGTATATATAGCTTTATCTGAAATGAATTCTTAACCCGAAATTAATTAGAATCACAGCATAACAAGATCAATTTGCAACGGATTTTTATCCCTAAATAGGGATAAATCCATCATTTTCTTCCTGGCTGTCAGACTATACCTCTTTGGCTAATTCCCTTTCATTACCTAATCACGTTTCCTACAGCCAAATATTTTTGAATACAAATATTTTCATGAACCATAAAAAGAAAATCCTCATCATCAGTATCTCTGTCATTGTCCAAATCATAAACAGAGATATGGCTGAGAGTCTCTATCAATTCCAGGATGTTCCAAGGGCATTACAGTAACATAGTGTTCTGACAGTGACTCCCACCACAATTTTCTGAGATAAAAATGAGTTAGAAACTTGAAGCTATTCAGATGTTTCAAAGGTGGCATCATTCCCTTGAACAACAGCTGTCCCGAAAAAAAGAGAAGAAGAAAGAAAATGCTGTGATGCTTATGTTATGAGGGTGTCCCAAGCAACATTCTACTTTGTTACAAAGACAAGAAACAACAACTCACCCGGGGATCCCTTTCTGTGTCACTCCTTGTACTTCACTATAATAAGGATATGATATTTTATAACAATGCCGAGGGGCAGAAAAAGTTGAAGCACTTTGAAGCACATGGTTGAAGCACTTTGAAGCACATGATGAACAATAAAAGGAAGGTACAAAGGGAAATGGAAGTACAAGGTTGAATTTCACAATTTTGACAGATCTCGCAAAAAAGCCAGGCTACAAAATCTAATTGTCTCTCCTTCTCTCTCTTTTTATCACCTCTTAATTCTTATAGCTTTCATTTGTGAATTTTACTTTCATTTCAACGATCACTGATGGGACATCAGACCATGAGAGATACAATTAAAATCAGAAAAGAAATAATGCGGCAGCAGAGTCTTTCCAAAGGCTATCAGTATTGCAATTTTCTTTTATTGCTCAACCCTCTTTTTTTTTTTCGTTTAAGGAATACCATAAGTAACTTTTACACTGATTCGATGGATATTAAGTATCAGAATAAAACATTGTTTTTAAAGAATCATATAAAAAAAATCTAGGAATGATATGCCTATATTTCAATACTGGATAGTCTATGTAACCGCTAAAATATCTCTATTCGACAAAATTTAAAATACTAATAGTGAATAATATTCCATCAAGATTGTAGATAATAAATAATCACAGGAATTTGGATTTTTTCCTCAGAAATCTTGAACAACTAATATCCCTCAAGCCTATTTAGAGACTGCAATCAATCAGGCAACTATAAAGTAAGCATACAAAATACTTTCCTAGAATAGAGCACGTGTGCCAAGGAGTTGGTCCACATAATGCAGAGTCTTTACAGAACTCAATAAACTCCATCATTTTGAGGTACAAGCATTCATTTGAAAAGATGTTCTCAGGTAGATTCAAACAATATACATCAAGTTGAGACCCACTCCTGACAATCCTATGAGTCCATTCATCATCATTGATGCAAACTCATCAAGAACACAGTAGCATTTTCCTTAGGATGTTGGTGCTCTGCTGAGGACCTTTTCTTTGGAAAGAAATGCATAGGCAAAGGCACACCATATTACAAAAGTCTGATGTCCTTGAAAACCGAACATGGTAAAGAAGTAGTTCTCGCAAATTAAAACCGAAAAGCTGCCAAATAAGCCCATACTCAAAATCATTTACAGGGCAGGCATAGTAAGTAAGTTGGAAAGAGGAAGCCTTTATTTGCCCAAAAAAAAAAAAAAAAGATGGCATCCCATCAATACAAATCAGATCTGAGCACACTATTACCAAAAAAAAAAAAAGTGTAAGATACTTTTTTTCCCTCCTTCCCAAAGCAATTGGAAGCTCTAAAGAGCAAATGTTGCTTTTCTAGATGTCAGCAAAGTTCACGGGTTCTAGCAGGAACCTCTCCATCTGATTCTGAAGTGCCCTAGCCTTAATTGACATATCAAGGACCTTTTGGTTAAATTCTACCACGAGACCTGCCAGTATGCTTGGATCAATCTGTAAATAATAATAATAATAATAAATAAAGATATTTTATCACATAGTTTATCTGAAGAGGAGAGTGGGGCAGAGAAAGAGAAGCAAAGAATATTAAAACTAAATAATATTCCTTCCGTTCAGGTGACCTTTTCAGCTTCTATGATCTCCTGAAGAGTCTCCTTCAGTGCCTGCTCCTCTTGAGGGGGAAGAGGCTGGTGTAAATAAATTGAAATCATGCAACAGGCCAAATCTAAACATCAAGTAAAATACAATATAGCCACCGGAATAACTCAAACATATAGTAAAAGTATCAAAGAAGAGTTATCCTTTATTGACAATTCAGCTAGAAAAAGGAGATTAACTAAGGTGTTCCAGGAAGAAAATTCAGCAACATAAAAAGTTATATTATAATTTAACTAATTTAAATATTGAAGTTTCTTTGAAATGATGCGAGAAAATGGTAATGGCAAGAAGAAGAAAAAATTGAAGTAAAATATGTCAGTACTAGGATTGATAAGGTGACCACAACAGTCAGGGAAGGTTAAAAGTATTTTTCTTATTGAATTACAAATAAACTATAACATAATACTTTAATAGGTTTATCCAAATCGACATCAAAATGAAACAAGGAACCAATCTAATAGATTGATACATTGGCATCTTGGGTAGCGCAACAAGTAATAAAAAAGGTGTATTTTCATACATGCTGGAAAAAAGCTTAAAATTCAAAGATGTGAAATCCCCTAAATTGGAGGCATCTTATAACTCTAGGTATAATGGATACTACCATACCAAACATAAGCATCTCAGATGGCACCTAGCACCCTAGATAAGATGAAGACTACGATGTATTAAACAACTCAGACAATTTTGAAATATTTCTGACAAGTTATGGAGACAAAGTAAAGCCTCTGCCTTCCAATTAAACATAGAAGAGATTAGAAATTGACAGCAAATATGAAAAAAATGCAATCCAGTCATATGCTTAAGCTTCTAATACTTAACAAACTAATACCAATTGCAATGATTGTCATCATTTTGATAAAAACTATGCATGTGAAGTTAACATTAGAAGTAATCATGCGCTGTAGGACTTTCTTAAGATGTTGCGGGGTCATTGATAAAGTGTCACTTACTATGACAGTGGTCAGAGTGGCTTTCACTTCCTCTTATATGCCATAGTCAACTCCACAAACTTCTTTGCTATACTTTCTAAGTTTCGTGGCCTCCCATTTTCAGGCACTACAACTTTAAAATAGAAAATCAATCAGCTCATCCATCAGGCAACAGAAAAGTAATGTTTCATATGTAGCCAGTGAGTTTCAAACACATTAGAAGTAACAAGAACTCAGCAATTATCAATAGTCAAGAGATGTGTAATGACATACTCAGG